GGAAAAAATATCTTCAGGTGAGGATTAACTAACTCACTCAATCCTATATAATAAGAGAGAAACATGTAAATTAACCATCCCTTTGCTATGCTTACCAGCCAATCAGGAGTGGATATGCAAATTAATCCAGCAAAGATGGTGGGCTCATTTGCATACACAGGCACCCAGCGGAGAGCAGGAGAGATGGCAGCTTGGAGGAACATGGCAATGTGGGATGGAGACAGAGCAGGAAGGGAAAACCTAGGGTGCGGGGAGCACCAGGAATGCTGGGAATTGTAGTTCTGGTGGCAGACAGATCTAAAGCAAAGAACCTGGAGCAAGTTACTGTTGCAATGGGGGATGGAGGGAAAGCAAAGGTGAGAGACATAAGTAAAATCAGAGTGTCTAGGAAAAATTAAAGGGATGATATCCTAAAACTTCCAGGAAATCTCCACCAATGAAGCAAAGAAAAAGAATGCCTCTATTATTCTGTGAGCAACAAACCAAGCTGGGTGTGGGTCTCAGACAATTTGCTGATATGATTGCAAAGACAGAAACTCCCAGGTTGGAGAGGGTTCCCGTGAGGGCTCCCAGATTGGAGAGGGTGCAGGTCGGGCTAAGGGACCCACTCCCAATGCACGAATCTTCGTGCACCAGGTCCCTAGTAAATAAATAATAGGCCGGCTGGTGTGGCTCAATGGTTGAGCAGGAACCTATGGACCAGGAGGTCATGGTTCGATTCCCAGTCAGGCCATACGCCCACGTTGTGGACTTGATCCCCAGTAGGGGATGTGCAGGGGGCAGCCGATCAATGATTATCATCATTGATGTTTCTCTCGCCCTCCCCCTTCTTCTCTGAAATCAATAAAAATAAAATTTTTAAAAAATAATTAAAACTACACATATAAATCAAAGCCTAAAAAAAAAATCAAAGCCTATGTGAAATATTAAATACTCTCTCCACCCAACAAAACAACCATTTTGTATGGAATAATTTGCAATGATGCTATCAATATATCTTATAAATGTAATGAGAGGAAACCCATTCTTTCGTGGCATGGTGGGGGGCACAGCAGCTCATGTGGCCTGCTAAAGGCCTTGAAGACTGAAGTGCTCAGGTCTGGATTGAGACTCACAGTCCTGTGGCTGCAGCACCATTGTGTCTGTCTATCCCAGGGGTGGGCAAACTTTTTGACTCGAGGGCCACAATGGGTTCTTAAACTGGACCGGAGGGCCGGAACAAAAGCATGGATGGAGTGTTTGTGTGAACTAATATAATTCAAAGTAAACATCATTACATAAAAGGGCACGGTCTTTTTTTTTTAGTTTTATTCATCCGGCCCGTGGGCCGTAGTTTGCCCACGGCTGGTCTATACCAACTATAGAGTGTCTCATTTCAATCTTTCCAAAAAAATTTTACTGATTTTAGAGAGGAAGGGAGAGAGAGGGGGCGAGGGGAGAAACATCAATGATGAGAGAGAATCATTGGTCAGCTGCCTCCTGAATGCCCCCTACTGGAGATGGAGCCCACAACCCAGGCATCTGCCCTGACCAAAATTGAACTGTGATCTCCTGGTTCATAAGTCGATGCGCAACCATTGAGCCATGCTGGCTGGGCCCGTTTCAATCTTGATTTCTCGGGGTCTCAGTCCAAGGAAGGCTTCTTGTTCCTCTGTGGCTGGCTGGAGTTTGCATCTTGCTTTCTTCCCTGTGTTCATCGGTATCTTGGGAAGGACTTCTTCTGGGGCAGGTCTGGGCCGCCGCCCTGTTGGGGAAGGGCTTTGTCTTGAAGGCGGGCTGGGGTCCGGCTGTCTGGGAGTGTTTTCTCAGTCTGCATGGGCCTGGGTTTCAGTTCAACCGTATGTCTGTTTTCAAGTCTTGGAGGAAAGGTCCTGCTTTACCATCTGAGGGGGGTTCATCCTGTCTGTCTCTGCGTCTGAGAGATTTCTTTGTGTTTAGTGTTATGCCTTCTGGGGTCTCTGTTTATGTCATTGTCTGTCTGGGTCTCTAAGGGAAAGTCTCTGAACCTGGGATCTGCCTGAGCTTTAGAACATCATTTCTGCTCCAGTCCCAAAATTCTGCCTGGAGCAAGTCTCTCAGGAAAGGCCTGGGTGGCAGGGGGCTCTGTCTGAGACTCGGGGTGCTCACTTTGAGAGGTGTCTGCCTGGGGGCCTCGGTTTGTGTCTGAGAGTCGCGCTGGGCGGACGATCCTGGGCATGGTCTGCAAGAGCCACTTCTCCGACTCTGGCTGTGGCCGCCTGGGGCTCCCTGCAGCTGAGGCCAAGGCTGGGGTGTGGCTGCCTCCCCGCAAGCAGGCAGGCGGGCTGGGCCTGCGTGGACCGCAGCCCTCCCTCCCTTACACGCCCCCACCCAGGATTCTCCCCTTCATTGCCCCCCACCTTTCCCTCCAGCCCCATCCC